ATATTTTGACTATTTACTGACCATTTGTATTAGTCAAAAAAATTTTGATCATATTTTGACGAGTTTAAATTTTCATAAATTTTTGGTCGAAAATTTGTCAACAAACATTTTGATCAATTTATTGGTAAAAAATTTGGTCAAAAATTAACATATTTTCTTGACCAATTTTCAACCAATCTTNTTNGTNNCAANTTTTCGACCATTTTTNTACAAATTTACGAATCCGTTAAAAATTGGTCAAAAAATTTCGACCAATTTTCGACTCTTGTATTTCATCATATTTTCTTGACCAATTTATAACGAAAATAAACATTCGTCTAAAATTAGTTGAAAATGGTCAAAATGGTTTTGACCACAAAAAAAATTGGTCAAAAATTGATATGTTTTCTTGTAGTGTCTTTTCGGTTGTGATGGTAGTTTTTATGATTATTCAACCAATTTGAATTCAGGGTTTATCGATGGCTTTAGATTCGTATTCATAAACAATAAAAAAGTCGATATAAAACTTAAAGGGTTTATATAATGCAAAACCTTTATTGTTGCCTTTTTGCATTTTAAATCACCTCGACTGAACCATATTAACCTTAACAAATAAAGTTCTTTTTATTAAAAGTAGTATAGATCTTATGTTTTTTAATATACATAAGAAAATCATCAGCTTCAAAGCAAATCTATGATTTAGGTCAGCATCTAAAATTTGTGGTTTTGTTAGTCTTAAATTCGAATTTAATTTGATTTGTGGGTTTTTTTTGTAATCTACTGCTCTTTTGATCTATAGTATCAATTGTTTCTTTGTTGATGATTGTAATTTTCTACTTGTGATCTCGAAATCTAATGTATGTTCTTCTCGATTTTACCAATTAGTCCCTTCTTAGTTTTGCCTCTCTCCGCTAATCTCTTGTGAGTGGCTGGTCTTACTATGTTGCTGTCCGTTTGAGCGAAGCGATGAAACAACTGAAACTTAACGAGATCCCCTAATATTATCGATGTTTTCGTAATCAACCATCAAAGATTTATAAGTCTTTCAGCTAAAATTTGGAAGTAATCTGATCAAAAACTCACATGTGAATAGTGAAAAGTTATATGATTTGTTTTGCCAATTGAAATTAAAGATTTAAACTAAGGAAGTTTTCCTGGCTGCAAATCTTAGATGCACAAAATGATCGAAATAAATAAATTTTAGAGCCAAAATCATATAATCTTAAGTCCTAAAAATGTCATTATGTTGAAATTGCGTGACGAAACTTTGACTTTAGCGTTTATGATTCCTCTTGAGTTATAAGAGGACTCTCATCACTAAGTCTCAAAAACAACAAAAGATATTAAAAATTATTTTTAAAAAATTATTAAAAATTATGTTAGTCTTTTAGTACTACTAAAAAGTGGTAGTTTTCGAACAAAGAAGTTCTTAAAAACCTAAAAGGTGTTAGTCAATGTTTGCCGGATAAATCTTAGTCAATGTTTGCCGGATAAATCTTACTCCCTCCGTTTCTTAATATAAGATGTTTTGGCTTGAACTACGAAGTTTAAGAAATTTTTTCTTTTTTCATATAGAATTATTTAATATATAAAATACAAACAATTCAACCAATTACTATATATTATATTATGAAACAAACATAATTGATCTAGTTTGGTCGTTGAATCAGAAGAACGGTGTTGTTTGGCATAAGGAAAGAATGGTGATAATGGTGACGAATGCAAATATGTTGGCGAAAAAGAATATTGTGTAGGTTTTGAAATAGACAAGAAAATCTAAGTAGACGAGAAAGTGAAGAATACAAAAAACCAAAATGAAGATGGAGATGAAAAAAGAAAGAGGCGCGATAAGATGAAGAAGATGAGGAAAAGAAGATGAAGATTATTAATCAAAAAAATAATATAGAGATGAGGATGAATTCGAAGAAGAAATCAATCCAAGCAACATGAAAATTATTCTTTTTTAAATTTACGTGCAGTTGTGAGAGTTAAGGCCAACATATTAGAGTTAATACCCCCATAAGTTGTTTCAAATATAAATTTCTTTTCAATATTTACATGAATTTGTGAGGGTTTTAGGCTCATATATTAGGGTTTAGTATCTATTAATTTGCTAAAATAAAATAAAATTATAGAAGAAAGTTTCATTTCTAAATGAAAAAAATATAGCATGGTTTTCAAATTTATTTTTCCCATGAAAGGCAATTAACGTTCATGATAAAATTTTGAAAAAGGCTAAGTTCGATGTGAAACAAATCAAATGTCTCAAAACACGTCATTCGGAATGGAAACAACTTGGATTCGATAAAATAGTCCAATTCTAAAAATTATCGGACATGCTTTATATTGTGTTGATAACGAAGAAGAAACATTACCATAGATTATATAATTATACGTCTATTATCATCTCGATAACTTATATATATGTATTTCTTAATGTTCAATATTGATTTCATAAATAATCTTAAATATCGATTAGTTTGGTTTGTTCAATTATAATTTATTGAATACTAGATATATAATATATCAAATTATGTGTTCACTATTCAAAATAAATAATTAGTTTTGTGTTGAATGTAAAATCCCAATTTACAATTTTAAATTTTTAGCACCTCATATATTATTGTTCCGCGCAACGCGCGGATACCTGCCTAGTTTTAAATAAATATAAACAAAATATAAACTAAGAACATAAAATGTAAACGAAACAAAAATATTTTAAAAAATAATAAAACTATTTCATAATTTTATATCTCAATTACCAATAAAAAATATAATAGATTATTATCTCATCTTAAAACACAAAATATATAAAAAAAAAATTACTAAAGGTAAAAATAAAATGGAGATGGCATGAGTCTTTGATTTAGGGTTTTAGGGTATCAAAATACATACATAATGTTTGATATAGAATTTTGGTTTGTTGACCAAAAAAAAATTGGTTTTTATGGATAAATTAGTGTTTGATTTAAGATTTAAGGTTTAGAATTTTATTATACATACATAATTTTTGATATAAGGTTTTAGTTTTTATGGATATATGAGTGTTTTGATTTCGGGTTTAGGATTGCGAAATACATAATTTTGATATATAGTTTGGTTTCTTTTACGGATAAATGAATGGTTGATCTATGGTTATGTAATACGGCATAACGTTTGATATAAAGATTATGCTTTGCAGGAAATAAAATGAGTATTTAATTTAGGATTTTATAAATTTTTTTAATTTTTGAATTAAAAATAGAAAATACAACATATCATTGTTCTATAACTATACTAAAAACATAAACTATGAAAAACTATACAAAATAAAAAGAAAAGAATGAAAAAGAGAACCTCTGGTTGATATAAAAGGTTCATATATTAATTAATTCGATAATAATATCGATACGGTGTCGTTTCTTATGCTTGTATTTAACCCTTCGTTCCGATTGGGGAAAGGATTTTTATCGAAGAAAAATCTCATCTTTCCTAATCGACTT